AGATCAGAATGATATGACTAAATGGTGGGGGTGATACATCAGCACCTTTACGATGGGATGGGTGATACATTTGGGGCCAGGTCTGAGGTGGCCGTGTGTGTTTTTCCCTCTTGCTTAGCCATCCTGTCTCCAGAGCGAGTCAGGGAGGGTGGGGGGCTGACTTTAGATGGCGCAGCAGCCTGAGGAACGCAGGCAGGGATGTGAAACCTGATCTATACTGCCTCTTAACCCTCCCGCCCCCATGCCCCCCTCTTCCCCTCCAACCTCCCCATGCTGCCACCTCGCTACAGACTCTCACTGCAATCCGATCCCTTGCACTGTGGCTGAGATTGAAAAACTCCTAGAGGGCTCCAGGGCAACTCAATCTGGGCCTGGCTGATATTTTAAAAAACAGATAGGAGGGGAAAAACATCTGTGTTTATTGTTGTATGATATTACAGCCTTTTAAGCAATTAAGTGATTGAATTCGCACATTAGCTGAGGGCAGATTTGTGCCAAGTATATGTCAATAAAAAGTAAAACATTACTTTCATGAGTCATTTTCAAATTGAGGAGGATGCAAAGGCCTTGCTAGAGGGTCCATATGTATGTTTAGAGACAAACAGTGTAAAATTAATAATAATAAAACAATAAAAATAAGATTAAAATAAATGAATACATATAAAAATAGTAATACATCAAAATAAAACAATAACTATTTGATTATTATAATAATATTATTATAATTATAATAATAATTAACTTAATAGAAACAAATTATTTTCCCATACATATACAGAGCGAGAGAGAGAAGACATTTACAATACAATTTTTTCACTGTATAAATTGGGTATTTATACAAGAAACTATATAGATGCCTGTTAGGATGATCATATTTGGGGGTTTGTGGCATCTAAAAGATTGAAACCCCCTACACTAAACCATGTACTCACTTTGGGCACAAAGCACTCAACCATCACATCTGCATAACAACTGATCATTAATTAACATTCAAAGTAAGACTGAACAAGTAATTGCTCTAGCAGTTACTGTAAATACAGAGTCACATGCTACATAACACAAATAACAGGACATATAATGAGTCAATGTTTTGCACTTATTAACATAATAGATCATCCACAAATGTACATTCTTTCATCATTTACCAATCCTCATGTCATTCCAAACTTGTATGACTTATGTTCTTCTGTGAAAAATAAAAGATGATGTTCACCATTAATTAAAGTGAATGGTGACTTCTGCCTCACATCTCCAGAAACTTAGAGCACATGAGGCTGAGTAAATGATCACAACTTTTATTTTCGAAAGAATTACCCTTTAACAAACCCTGATTTTGTCCTCATCAGCACAGTTTTTTTTCATAGGAGACCCTGCATCAAGCTGTGGAATGCACAGATTTCTGGCATATATACTACAAGCCTTTAGCTTTAATTTTCTAAAATAAATCCACTTTCCTCAGACTAAGCCTCTCTCCTCCAGGCTTCTCGAAGCACTGCTTCACAGGCAGTGTTACCATCTGTTTTTTGACCTCCTTGAGAAGGTAAAAGAGCTGAGCAGACCCCCTTCCCCCCAGAACCCATAAATTAAAAGCAGCTTTTGTATCGAGCGGGCTAGCATGGCCAAGAGACTCAAATCTGGGAAGTACAAAATGTACAGTAAAACCAGTATAATTTAAATGTAACACATTTCCACAAACCTACGCATACAATAATAAGCCAAAAGCAGCTTTTTGTATTGAGAGGCGGATACGTGAGCAAAACAGCCTGAAGGTAAAAACAACCCATGAAAAGAATATATCATCCAAAGTATAAATAAACACGATATTGTGAAGTGAAAAGAAACAAACTTGAAATGTAAAACAGTTTCCATAAGAGAGATAAATAAACATTTAGAAGCACCACACAGCTGTCAGATTATTAGGAAAGTTGTTGCTAGCATTACGCGACTGTCGCGTTAATAACTTTTTACTCGGACTTTTACAAATCCTGACAGTTTTCTTCAAACAATAATAATGCAATGGTAAACATATAATATAACACAGATTTACAACGCCAATGTATTACTTTGAAACAAGACCGTCCGTGTTGGTAGTTATGGGAGTAAATGTAAACGGATTTTGACTTGCTAACGGGGATAGCCCACTAGCTATCGTTCAACTCGCTTCACTCTTGAGGAAATCTCTCGACAAAATCATTTAACAAACGCGTAAACGCTCAGCGTTTTTTCTCTTTAAGGCTTGCACATTTGTGTACAGCGTAGTAAAAAAATATATAATAATAGATAAATAAAAAAAACACCACGGCAGTCGGTTTTACCTTTGTAACGCGGTTAAAACATTACGTGGAAATGGAAAATTTAGCGCAACAAACTTTCGCGAGGCAGCGTTTAGCATACCCAAGCTAACACTTTCCATTTCACTTACCGAAAAGGTTCTTCAGTAAATCTTATTTCCGTATACTCCGTCAATTTATTGAGCTCTAGACACTTGGATAACTCCAAGGGTTCGTTTCTACTTGTGCTCGTGCTGGACTCTCATTGAGGTCTGTTAAGGGTCTGGCACTGACCATCACAGTGGAGTGTACTGCACTTACTACATACACTAGCGACTGCAGACCACTCTCGGTCACGGCAGCGAGCGCGCTGATTGAGCGACTCCCAGCGCCCCCTGGCGACTGAAGCGAAAAAACTAAATAGGCTGGTAATTCGATGCTAATAAAAATCATATTATCAGAGAGAAATCATATTAGTTCATTTGCTATGTTACCGTTTTATTAAATGAATGAGAAACATTAGGCTATCATTTTAATAAATGATTTTAAAAGATTTTAATAAAACAAATAGAGATTTAAATACTACAAATGTGAATTAGTAGTAATGGGGCTGTCCAGACTGCAGTACAGTTTAATGATATTTAATCATACATTGAAAACAGTGCCCATAAAATGGAGGGTTCGTTTCTACTTGTGCTCGTGCTGGACTCTCATTGAGGTCTGTTAAGGGTCTGGCACTGACCATCACAGTGGAGTGTACTGCACTTACTACATACACTAGCGACTGCAGACCACTCTCGGTCACGGCAGCGAGCGCCCCCTGGCGACTGAAGCGAAAAAACTAAATAGGCTGGTAATTCGATGCTAATAAAAATCATATTATCAGAGAGAAATCATATTAGTTCATTTGCTATGTTACCGTTTTATTAAATGAATGAGAAACATTAGGCTATCATTTTAATAAATGATTTTAAAAGATTTTAATAAAACAAATAGAGATTTAAATACTACAAATGTGAATTAGTAGTAATGGGGCTGTCCAGACTGCAGTACAGTTTAATGATATTTAATCATACATTGAAAACAGTGCCCATAAAATGTTGTGTTATGAGCTATTTTCAGTTAATAAAGCAACTTAATATTTTTATGTTTAACACTTCAGTGCAGATTCAGGTGAATTTTGGGGCATTAAGGCAATGGTCAAAGTAAGCACAAAGTAAGGCTGTTTTCACAAGATAATTTCAAATACAAAAAAAGAGAACAAGTTATTGTATTAGAGCAGCATCTCAGTTTGAACTCTCACACATAAACACCAAGAGAGACACTGAATTTTTCAACAGAAGAAGACTGTAAAGACACTTGTTAATACTCCAGAACGTCATGTTTATAAATATGAGTGTCACATAACACATACTGTATATTCTTTATTGTATCATTGCAACACTAATGATCGGCAAATTTATGTAATTATGGATCAATCTTTTATCTCTGTAATTCCCAGGTGAACTGCACAATATAGCAGATGGCAAATTGAGATAATACATTGTGTAAAATGACTGCTTTGCATTCAATAGTGTAATTACATCAAATAAATCTGTTTTTGAAAAATGCTAAAAAGATACAACATTCCCACTTCTGAACCCAACACTGCTATTAATGTAATTTTAAGCAACTTACTAATCTTGTGTAAAAAAAAAAAAAAGAAGCAAACAATTTATTAAATTTAAGAGAGGCAATTATGATATGCCAAACCATTGTGTTAGTAATATAAAAAAAACAAAAAAACAAGCCAAATTCTAAAGTAGCCCTAAGAACACATTTCAACTGATATGGTAGGTTAGATTAACTTCAATATGGCAGTGAAAATATATACTGATAAATCAAGGACACGTTCATAAAATGTCTAAATAAAAGTTATATTAAGTGAATTTTATGCATAAAATATCAATATTATAAAGGAAAACCTGAGTGTATGCAATTGCAATCTCAGAATTTGACCCCGATGTTCTTTAATAGCGAAGCATACAATTTATTAAATTTAAGAGAGGCAATTATGATATGCCAAACCATTGTGTTAGTAATATAAAAAAAACAAAAAAACAAGCCAAATTCAAAAGTAGCCCTAAGAACACATTTCAACTGATATGGTAGGTTAGATTAACTTCAATATGGCAGTGAAAATATATACTGATAAATCAAGGACACGTTCATAAAATGTCTAAATAAAAGTTATATTAAGTGAATTTTATGCATAAAATATCAATATTATAAAGGAAAACCTGAGTGTATGCAATTGCAATCTCAGAATTTGACCCCGATGTTCTTTAATAGCGTGGCATGAAACAAACACTTTACTGTAATCTAAAAAAAAAAATCGCAGGTGCCCCATTTGTTATTAATTTTAAGAAACGTATTAACAACACAACTTTCATCCTGTGAGTGTGTGTGGCTCTGTCTTGTTAAATAAATAATTTTTTCAATAAAAATCTGAATCCATCCTTGGCAAAGAAAACAAGTAAATTATCCATGCAAATTCAGAACAGTACAGCATTTGCAAAGATTATATAAATATTGAGGTTTTGCACACAATAAATAACAGAACAAAAATCAACTATAATAGGTGACAAGGCAAAACATGATCAACAAAAATCCTGTTAAACCTTGAGAGCTGGACATTATTATAGCTAATTATGTCTTGCATACACTGTGAGGGCAATAATAAATAAATTAAAATAAATTCTGTTACCTTTTCAGATGCCCTGCTTATATTCTTAAAATAAGTCGATAAAAACAGAATGACACATAATGCTAATGTTGACATCACATACGCATGAGTTAGCTCACTTGCTTTCACACACACTAAAAGCACAAATAAACAAGATTAGTAACACATAAAACACTCATTCAGTATTGAAAAGACTGCACAACAACATCCAGTCTCAATCTATTTAACAACCTTTTGTGACTGATATTCAAGTCAGGGATCTATAGGCCTCATTACTGTTCAGGAAAACAAATAGTAATGGAATAAAAACACATTTCAATTTACTTTAGAGTTTAAGGCATAATAACATGCATAGACATTTTCAGGCTGTTTCTGGTTTATGAATGATTCAAGACATGACAGACTATGTCAAGAGCAACTACATCTGCAGGCAATCTTCAACATTCATGTAGAATATTAATATCTTTAAAATTAAGGTTGTAGTCACTAATATCACAAAAATTGTATGTTGCATAAATTCACCAAACCCCCAAAAATGTGAAAATGTTATATCTCTTAAATTAATGTATATCAGACAAACAAGTGCATGTATGTAAATGTATTAGGGTTATAATAAAGACAAAAAATTACCTTAAATTATATGTGCACATTGGATTTGGATTAAAAAGGTCAAAAAGCCTAGTTTATGTATCATTCAGTCATTTGCTTACTAATATGCTGTTTAATAAACGATATACTGTATATCTTTTACATTAGTTTTTGTGTCATTTGGATTGGCACTGATGGATTGGCGTAAAACCACACATGCAAATGTTACATTAATTGCATTTAATTCCTTCACTGACAGCTTATGATGCAATGTTGAAGCATCTACACATTGATGGCATGTGCATGCTTCTTGCATAAGGGCTTGTCCTTCTTGGAGTAGAAAGCCTGTCCTTCCAGGTTCACATTGCACACCTGTATGTTGGGACAGAAATGCGTCATAATTCCTCAGTGCTGAATCATTTATAAACCATATGGACAAGTGCTATAACAAAATTATTTTGAACCTACCGCACAAACAAAGCAGGTATCATGCCATGTGTGACCAAGAGCTTCAATAAATTTGTCTCCTGCCTCAACTGGGAAGTCACAGCCATGGCACTTTGTGCTGAAGAGTGCAATATAATCTGGTGACAGAAACATTTAATGAAAATAATAGTAGTCTAGACTGTATAATTGCATACACATTTTTGTCAGACATAGCTGGTGGCTCCCATACCTTTCTCACAATATGGCTCACCATCCTCCATATGAAAGAGGCTGTTTCCAAAGGGCTTTCCACAAGCTGCACACACAAAGCAAGTGGTGTGCCAGGTCTGCCGCAGTGCATGCATCACTTCCTGTTGAGCAGATGTGGAGTGGAATAACTGTCAGTACCTGTGAAGTGTGGTTTCAGTCATGTCTGTGCATGTGTGTGCGCAATGTTAATATGTTTTCAACATACTCCCATGATCTTGGTGTTGCAGCGAGCACAGGTAGGTGCAAAGAACTCGCCATAGCAGTTTTCACAGTAAACATTATTCTGCTCCTCCACAAAGCTGACATCAGCCAGGGACGTGTGGCAATAATGGCAATTGAACTCCTCTGGATGCCAGGAACGACCCAATGCCACCAGGAATGGTCCCCTGAAGAGTAAAAAAACACTAATTAAAAATGTCCTTGGACATTCATCAAAGACAAATGATGTTTTGAGAACATTTAACAGCAAATTTTTTTTTCTTGGAATAAATCGGACAGATTTCTGTCTTGCTAAGGAAATGACTGGAAGTGACACAAAAATATTCTCTCCAAGTGTATTTAAGGTGAACTTTGTTTAAATGATCATACTTTTAATGATTTACTAATGTTAACATTTAATGTCTGGGTCTGTAATTAAAAAAAATCTACACATAGAATGCTTTTTTATTTTAGTATTATTTATACACTATTATTGAATTAGCTTTTATTTTTAAATTTTCACTTTCTAATTTTATTTCAAATTTTAGTAATTAATCATTTTTGGCTTTTTAAATATATATTTTTAAATATGATATATTTAGCTTTATTTTATTTGAGTTTCAGTTTAAATAATTTTACTACTTCATCTTAAACTAATTTATATTTAGGTTTTTCATCTGTTTAGTTTTATTTGTATTTATATTTAAGCTTTATTTTAATTAATGAAATTGCAACATGTATATTCACACACACACACACACACACACACATATATATATATATATATATATATATATATATGAAAAATCGGAAATCTGCTAGTTTGAATACAAATCAAACTCTGGGACATAAAAGTGTCCGAATTCGAATTAAAACATATCACAAGAGGTCTTGTGATTACAGATGGGTGAATGTCACACAAGTGCTATCACACCTGATGATGCTATTGCAGGCTCCACACAGAGGTGTTCTGTTGCTGGCTGCAAAACGCTCTGCCCTTTGAGCAACTCCACGAGCCACAGGTGGGAAGGGGGCAGGGTTGAATGGAGGAGGGGCGGGGTTGAATGCAGGGCTGGGTGCAGCAGGAGCGGCAGCAGGGACGTGGTTGGGGATGTAGGCTGGTGGTGGTGGGGCCGCCTGGGGAAGAGGGTTCACTCTGATATTTTTGGTGGTGGTGGGTTTGCTAGGGTCAAATTTCTCGGCAAAGTTCTCATCAGTAACCCAAGGAGGCCTGTTGGAAGAAGACGCTGGAGCTGCGGCAGGAGCAGGTGGAGGAGGAGCAGGTTTGTGAACCATTGGAGGAGCTGGTGATAAAAGATGCCCATGAGTTAGTATTGCATACATACAGTCATACAAAGATGGACACACACACACTGAATTATATCAAATAGAGTGGGTATAGAAAATATCATATGATGTTGCTAAAAAGAACATTATTTTGTGTATTTGGTGTAATGAAATGTGTTTATGCGGTTTAAGGTTAAAAAAACACATTATTTTCCACATACTGTACATTATTGTTTCTCCTCAATGCCCCCCGCCTTTCTGAAAAGCGTCACTTTTTACAAAGCTCATCGGTCTGAAAAGCGTTGTGATTGGCCGAATACCTCAAGCGTGTGACGGAAATGTTACGCCCCTTACCGTGCTGTGATGGAGCAACGAGACAAAACATTAAAAAACCCATTATAAACGAGGCATTTGTTGCATCCAGTGGCGACATAATTAAGGATTATAATGACGGTCTTTTTACACATTGCATTGCATTGCACTGCGTAAACATAAAGCCATGTCTGCATTTGTGATCAGAGAAATGACAAACTACAAACGCTACTCTATATGCTCAAAACTCGCGTTTGAATCGTCAGTGGCAAATTCTTTAAATATAAAAAACGTACTTACAGTCTGTGAGTCAGAACAGCCGGCAACAGTCCTCCATAAAATGTGCTGCACACATCTGAATATATGGGTTGAACTGTTCTGGAATAGTGTTGTAAATACAACTTAACCACTGATTTCTAGTTGTGTTCAAACAAAGTAGTTTTGCTTTCACAATGAAACACACAGCGTCACACACGGCGGGCTTGAGTGAGCGGAGGTCAGCAGGCTTGAGAATGGCGCGGCCGGCGGGTTCGACGAAGGAGTGGCCGGCGGGCTTGCGGCAACCACATGTGACGACCCCGGGCTGGACTCCGCTTCGTCCACGGTGAAAGCCGATCCGGCGATCCACAGCGCAAAGTTGATGTATTCCCTCAGCGACCAGCACGGATCAGCTCTAGGCATGACGAAGCGGATATCGTCCTCTTTTGGAAGGCCAAACAAAGTAGTTTCGCTTTCACAACGAAACACACAGTGTCTCCACGACATGGCAGCGGCGGCAACAACAATACTACAGCCAGAATCAAAGTTATGCCTTCTTTCTTTGCGTGAACATTTGGGCGGTGTTATGCAAATCTTCCTACACAGTGATGTAGACATGTGGGGGCGTGTTTAAATGAGGCGTTTTAGGAGGGCGTGGACAAGTCTTAACTTTTATAAAGAATATCTCTTTGGATTTGAGACTTTAGTCTTTGCAACTTTAGGGATCTTATCTATGCATGAACAGCTTGTAACACTCCAAAGAGAAAGGAAAACTTGAAATTGCTTCATATGACCCCTTTAAAATAATCACATTTTGCTTCTTTGCAGCCTGAAATGATGACAGAGACAGTTTTATCCAGTTGCATTTACTCAGTGCAACTTATAACATCCAAGTGAAAGATATAACATAATATAGGTGACCACTCTTAAAAATAAACACAGTAACGAACTTAAACGTGAATGTTTACAATCAAAATACACAGGGATTAATCACTCTAGAAATAACGTAAAGGCTTAATTAACCCAAGTACACCCAGGGTTACACCAACATGTCAGAAAAAAAACAAAAAAAACAATCACTGAGTTGGAAAAAGGATTACCCCCCTCCTAAAAATTACTTGTAAACTCAGTCAGGTGTAACTAATCACTTTCTCAATGGCATTTGACTTTCAGCTGTGATCAGCTGTGGTGATTTTGATTAGCTCAGCATGAAAAGAGCTTTCCTGGAGCATTTCAGTCATTGGTAGTGCAACTGAAGCAAACGATCAACTATGGGTGGCAAGGCACTGTCAAAAGATCTCCGGGATAAAGTTGTGTACAGGAACTTGAGATGGATACAAAAAAAAATTCAAAGGTTTTATCAATGCCTAGAAGCACAGTGAAGTCTATTATTAGGAAGTAGGGGGTATTTGGTAGAACACAGACCCTCTCTAGATCAGGACGTCGCTCCAAACTGGATGAAAGAGCCAGGAAGAAACTGGTCAGAGAGGCGACCAAGAGGCCTACAGCAACTCTGAAGCAGTTGCAGGAATTTATGACATTGTGTGCATGTGACAACAACATCACAAATTCTCAACAAATGTAGCTTGTATGGGAGGGCTGCAATAAATTACCACTCCTCAAGAAAGGCCACATGCAGTCACGACTGAGCTTTGCCAAAACGCACCTTGAAGATTCTGAGGCCACATGGAAAAATGTGTTATGGTCAGAAAAAACTAAAATTGAATTATTTGGCCTCAACACCAAACGATATGTCTGGTGGAAATCCAATACAGCTCACCATCCAAATAACAGCATTCCTCCAGTAAAACATTGAGGTGGTAATATCCTGTTATGGGTCAGGATAGAAGGAAAAATGGATGGAACAAAATACAGTCAAATCCCTGAGGAAAATTTGCTGCCCTCAGCCAGAAAGTTGTCGATGGGAAGAATATTTACCTTCCAACATGACAATGACCCAAAACACACAGCAAAACTGAGCACACAGTGGTTGAAGGAGAAAAAGGTGAATGTCCTTGCATGGCCTAGTCAGAGCCCAGACATAAACCCCATTGAAAATCTGTGGAATGACTTGAAGACTGCAGTCCACAAACGGTCACCATCAAATTTAACTGAACTTGAGCAGTTCTGCAAAGAGTGAGTAAATATTGCAAAGTCTAGTTGTGCAAAGTTAGTAGAGACATATCCCAACAGACTGTAATTAAAGCTAAATGTGGTTCAACAAAATACTGACTCAAGGGGGTGATCCTTCTTCCAACTCAGTGATTCTGGTTTTTATTTTAGATTTTTTCTGACATGTTGGTTTTATATCTTTCTCTTGTAAATACAGCTGGATAAAACAAAAACTGTGTCCGTCTTCATTTCAGGATGCAAAGCAACAAAATGTGATTATTTTAAAGGAAGTGATTATTTTCTATACCCACTGTATGTGCAATGGCTACCTGGGGCAGTTAGGTAGGCTGCGGGCACAATGGTGGCAGTGCTGACCACTTTAGATGGAGGTGGACCTAGAGGGATCTGGATGGAGCTGTGCTGCATGGGTGGTGGCGGCTGCTGCATAGGTGGAGGCTGGGTGTAAGAACTACAGAAGAACAGACCAGAAACTCAGTAACATTTCAGTTCAAATGAGAAGCTACTCCTTGTTTCTGCTTTTCCTAACTACTTAAACTTTTCCTGATCAATCTAAAACATTCACATTACACTTTTGGCAGATGCTTTCTTTTTTATTAATTATAATTGCAATATATAATAATTATATTGTTGATGTTTTATAAAAAGCTACTACATGTTTTACTAGACTTAACCCATTGATGCCCATATTTCTTTTCTCTGTGAAATTATGTATTTGCCATATTCGTATTTGCACCAAACATACGTACTGTGTGCAAACTGTAACTGTATTTTAAGTTTTAAATATGTGGTACATATCTCTATACAGAAACATGTACAAAATCTATAATAATAAAATGTTCTGCACATCTGTCACTATAAAGTTGCAAGTGTAAACATGCAGAAAGGGCAACAAGAATTAAACACCACATGACACATTACCCAAATTTTTTTTCCTAAGGTTGTTTATTTTTTACAGTATGTCAGCTGTTTTTCTCTTGTTTATCTAGTCTTCTAAATATCTACAAATAGAAAAAATGTGATATTTCCTTTGGTAACTTTAGCTGTCAACAGGCTTAAATTAGTTACTGACTATAAGTTTGGATGCACATTCAGTTCTCAGAGACTGATATTACTGCTAATATTACCCAAGGATGTCTGACCACATAATCACATACACATTTGAAGATGTCTTACCTTAAATCCCTTCATTACAGTTTTAATGCAAAAATTAGTGTTATTTTAACAGCGCAGTGCACAAGAAAAAGACAGTCTAGAAACAACAACAGTGTTAAAAGAGAGAGCCTCCATTAATTTGAGTAAAATTACACAAATCTTTTCCATGTATATACATAAAGACACATATAGATGGTTACATCTTGATAGCTAAAGAACAATCCCCCTAGCATAAGTATTATCCTTTAGGTAAATTGGCTAAAAGAAGCAGAAAGGAGGAAAAGATGTGTTATGGCACATGTGACAGGCCACACTGACACTGGGAGGGAGAAAACACACTTGCTGATTGAATACAGAGCTGGACCACAGCAGTACCTGGAGATGGAGGTTTTGTACTGGGAAGTGTAACCCATAGAGGTCTGCAAGTTGAAGCTATAATGTAACAAAGAGAAAAATGGTGGACAGTCAAACGTATCATGCCTAGAATGAACCAGAGAGTGGACATGTGCACTCATATCTGCACGACCAACAGGATCAGATACTTTGGATTTCCAAAATACATATGGAGATTAACTGAATATGCAGTAACTCTTTAAATACTTGTCAGATATGTATTCCATTCTTGTTTTGTCTGAATATAACAACAGTATGAGTACAGTACAATATGAGTGAACATGGCAACAATCAGACCATGAGCAAAACAGAAAACAAACATATGCGTTCAAAGCAAAGATCCACCATGTACCAACAACTATATTTCAGTAGCTAGCAAAAAATTTATCTAACACATGATTCATATATTTCAGGGCTAAACTATAAACTGATAAACAATAAACTGCTGTGTCAGTGTAAGCAATGGATACATGCAAAGAGTTTCTGCCATGTCAAAAAAACAAACTTACTTAAAGGGATAGTTCACCCAAAAATGAGAACAATCCCATGATTTAGTCACCCTCAAGCTACCCTAGGTGTAATGTCTTTCTTCTTTCAGACAAATACAATAAAAAAAATGTCCTGGCTATTCTGAGCTTTATAATGGCAATGAATGGGGGTCAAAATGTTGAAGCTCAAAAAAGTGTGCCCATCCATCATAAAAGTACTCCACATGGCTCTGGGGGGTTAATAAAGGCCTTCTGAAGCAATGTGTTTGTGTAAGAAAAATATCCATATTTAAAACCATAATATCTAACTTCCACTAACTGTCATACTTGCGTTCACTAGAGAGTGGCATTCCAGCAGATGATGTAGGCGTAGTGTAATCCTCTGCCATTTTTCTTTACAAATCCTCGTTTTGTACTTCAAAATCGTTACCGGTGTTTTGGTTTGCTCTCAAAATCTCGAACCCCATTCACTGCCATTATAAAGCTCGGAAGAGCCAGGACATTTTTTAATATAACTCTGATTGTATTCGTCTGAAAGATGAGAGTCATATACACCTAGAATAGCTTGAGGGTAAGTAAATCATGGGGTAATTTTCATTTTTGGATGAACTATCCCTTTAAGAAACACGAAAACTGATTGTCAAAGGCCCATTGGATTTGGGTTTCAATGCCCAGATATGAAAACTCACACTTAGGTCTCAAAACTGACTTATGACTTGGTTAAAAAGATCAAATTAAATCTCTAGAAATAATACATATTTAATATTATTAACATTTAATATTACATTTAAAAAATGGAAAAAGATTTCATAAAATAAGGTTAACTTCGAGATCTGAGACTTGACTGGGACTGTTAGAGACTTATCAAAAAAGCAAATAAAATGCTTGAGGGTTACATTACATCATCGGGTGTAGTAGTACCTCATTAAAAGAAAAAAAAAACATGTAAGGAAAATTAATGCTCAATCCCCAGAGGAAACATATTAAGTAACTTTATCTCTGGTTTCATTAACACCTGTTCTTACTTTTGTTGTTGAAGTAACACAAGAAGATGGCACATATAAGTGCTTATGGTGATGTTAAGTTTAAAAAGTAGTTCATGGAAGTCTAGGGAGGTTTTTATTTGGGTCAAGTGTTGTTGAACAATGTGATGATAAAGAGACGCCACTCATAAAAGCAGAAGGCCAAAATAAACAGCCATCATGTCATTGATGACATGGATTCAATCAAATGTGAGTTTCTAGTTTCCTTTGGGGGAAGGGTATTAGTAGTAATAAGCTGTAGCAAATGAAGCAGCAGCTGCAAAAAGAAATTGGGTTAAGACAAAGAAGATCATATTAGAGGATTAAAGTCATTGATTATAACATTAATAGGATTGGAGGATTGGCTTTGCTTTGAGTCTCCAGGATCAATGGAGACTCTCTGTTCTAACACAATTTGACTTTGTCCTACAATCTATCAAATGTTAGGTTAAAATCTAATATCAATAGTTAATTTTCTATAACATCTATCATGTGTCTCCACTAACAGAAGTGAATTCAAATTGAAACAACTCGCTAATACTACACACAGCCAAACAAATGTCCTACACACAGCCAAACAAATGACCTGTAAGTAATCACATTTTAAACTGTGTTCCTTTTCAAAAAAGTAAAATTAGGAATGAAAACCCCAAACATACAAACAAAAAACAAAAAACAAACAAACAAAAAAAAACAGCAGAAACTTAGAACTTAGATTTTTAAATGCTTTTGAAAGAAGTCTCTTGTGCTCAACAAGACTTCATTTATTTGATCAAAAACACAGTAAAACATTAATAGTGTGAAATATTATTACAATTTAGAATAACGGTTTTCTATTGTAATAGATTTTATAATGTCATTTACACTTGAGTTTGTAAAGCTGAATTTTCAGCAGCCATTACTCCAGTGTTCAGTCAGCAATCATTATGATAGGTTGATTTATTGCTCAAGAAACATTTCTCATTATAATCAATGTTGAAAACAGTTGTGCTGTTTAATATTTTGTGGAAACAAATGTGTTTTTCCAGCATACTTTGATGACTGCAATAAAATCTTAAATTTGTAATCTATCTTTTGTAACATTATAAAAGTTTTTACTGTCACTTTTGGTCAATTTAATGCATTCTTGCTGAATAAAAGTCAATAAAAATCTTACTGACCACAATCTTTTGCGTATGCATTGCACATATACATACCAATGAGGAATACAATAAACCAAGCATAAAATGCAACGCATGCAACTTTACCTGGCTACAGTAGTTTGCTCAGGAATCTGCTCCGCATCAGGTTTGGGTGCCTGATTGGCTATCTGCAGCTCCGAAAGGAGCTCATTGGGCAAAGCAGCAATAGTAGGCGGACAGACAGGTGCAATACTGGTGAAAACTGAAGCATGCTCAGCCGGAGTACTAGATACAAGGTTAGGTTGCAGTGATGTCAGAAACTGATGTTAAGCTGATGTCAAGCCATAAATACAGACAGCAGCCGTGTTTCAGGCCATGTATGCATATATGGCTTAATTTAAGTTACATTTTGTTAGAAGCAGCTGTTTCATTCTCATGCTTACAACATTTCTGAGCAGAATGCAAGGATGTCCATCATGGGGGAAAGAAATGTTAATTGCTTTATTCTCATTAGACTTATCTATTTTGTCATTGAAGGATTGTAAAAACTGTAACACAAAAGACTATGAACTATCGATTTGGTATGAGTCACCATTTGAGCTGTGAAGAAGGACCGGACTGTATTATAAATTGGTGTCTCAGCAGCTGAGACAACTGTAAGTGCTTTTCTAGGATGAATTAAATGAATCCAGACATATGGGCTAAAATCAATCATGTGTTCAAACAGGGGCAATGAACTGCATATGGCAGGACCTCATCATTTTACAATGACGCAGGGTTTATACGTAGGTTACATAAACCCTTTTAGTCTGTCCATAAAATACAATTCAGTGGTTAGAGAGCAGTAGATTAGTGTTAAATAATACTCCCCTGTGATCCAAGCAAAGAAAAGTGCATTATTCACAAATAGACATTTCTTTAATCAATTGGCATCCCCTGTACATAATCAACACAATCAAATGAATGATGAAAATAGATTGATGTTGGAGCCGCCCAGGCAGGAGAGAGAAGATAAAAGGCAGGCACCTAGCAGCAGCAGGCCTGGTGGTGGACCGATGGCTGACCCCCTTCACACAACCATCCTTCCTGACCATCTCTCTCTCTCTCTTCCGGTCTCATTTTATGTTGAAAAAGCCCATAGAAAAGAGTGAGGTAAAAGATGAAATAAAGAGAGCATTTAAAGCTGAAGTGTCTGATTATTTTTTTGTATTTAGTCCATGCTAATTTGCACAAATACCTATAAGTGAACCATTTGTAGGTTTTCTTGTCGATTGACCCCACGTTTATGACCAATCCAACACAGCAATATTGGCAACCAACCAACCCAGTCTCATGCAACTATTTTATAAAGTAGTGATTTCATATGAATTTGTACAATATGATTGATACAGAAATGTGTGATTTTTGAACAGGACTATCTGTTTGTCCGACCAATAAAAAAAGAGGGAAAATGTTCTGGAAACCTGTATAAAAATAGTTACGTTTGCAATTCCAATTTGTGATCTTACTGGCTCAGAAATGACACACTTCAGCTTTAATGTCATTCTGTGGCTCATATTGAGTTATGGTTATGGAACAGAGAGAAAGGTCTGTAAATGTTGGTTGCAGACATTTATGAAGCCTTCACGAAGATTTAAACACTTTCTGTGGTGAACTTGTATGTGTATTGAATCCCTCTGTTATTTTAAGTGTATAATGTAAGAGGAGCATGTATATGTGTATTGGAGGGGCTTTGGGAGAGGTGTGTGGTGGCAGAAAGCAAACACAGATTAGCATTTATTGCAAGCTGTGAGAGACTGAAATCAGAGAAAGTCTACACACAAACAAACCAAAAATGATATCTTAAGAAATTATGATTATGTAACCCCTCTCTCCCGGGTCCTCACTGCCACACCTCGTTCTCGCTCCGAGTGGGTCTTTCTCTCTCTCACACACACATACACAAAGACTATATAGATCATAAAGTCCTAATCACTGTATCCATCAACTAGCTAGGCTGTCAAACTCTGGTTTAGCTATATTAACAAAATCTTGAATCTCAGCACAGATTCAGAGAACAATGAAATACAGATCACAGATGCAGACAACGCCTTCAGAAAGAGGGGTTGTAACTGAAACATGTACTAAACTACTTGCAAACGTGTAACTCGCTATTTAATGGACCAGACCCAGAGGGCAAAGAGAGTCAAGACAGGCAGAGGATAATTCAGACAAGATACTGCAGTGCCACCTGCTGGCATTATATGCTTGACACATAGTTTGGACATAGGGAAAAATGTGTTCTCATCCTAAAGCGGATTAGTGCAACACATTCTCATGAAAAGCAGCCTAACATGTAGACTATCTTCTCTTTACATGCAAATTAGCAAACGAAATTGGCATAGAAGAGGGTTGTGAAGAAAGACTGA